ATAATTCCCTTAACAAACAAAGTGATTCTCGCCACAATTGGTCCTTCAAACCGGATTTCAAGCATGTTTGATGTCTGTTCTACTATATTAGATCACAACTTCAAATTTGATTCGTATCGAAAGAGCTAAGGGCTATAAAGCCTTATCACTATTACAATTTAATTAAGAATGCATCTAAACTAATTTGCAAGATCTACCTCTTTTCTCGACGATAATAATCATATATCAAATTTCAAAGAACAGATAATATAATAATCAAAACTAAACGTTTGTTATCATTCGTCGATTCTGTTACATGAATCTGGCTGAAAGTCTGGTTGAAATTTAACTCAAACGCTCTTACTGAGATTTTGTATTTCATGTTGCGGTACTTTCCACGTCGATTGGTCTATTAGTATCGTCCGAATGCAACGGCAGCAGACACCTCCACGGCGGCGGCAAGCTGACGTCTTGGAGAGCACGCTCGGTGAAGCGATGAGGTATTCAGGACTGCAAACACGATAGGAATAATATTTGCGGTATTGCACGAGACGGAATCCGAACACGTTGAGGAAGCAGACAGATGAGTTGATATTGTACTTCTGTGCACACATAGCTCTATACATATAAAATATGTATTTGTGACTAATCTTTCATATTATGTGGTATACTGAAGAATTTGCCAGCTACTATAAATAAAAATACGGATTTTTAACATAGGGTGATGGACCGCTAAAAAACGCAAAAAAGTATATTGTAACGATAATTGCTATTGTTGTCAAAAGGTTGCACAACGCTCAGTGCAAATGGTCTCCCCCACCTACTTCTCTACTAGGGTTTCTGTAAAATAAGGTCCAAGTCAAGGATTGAAAAATGTCATTAAGAAATGTAACTTCTTCCGAGGAGGTCGGTCGGATCCAGGAGCGAGTCTCTAGACCCGCTTTGTGTATAGTGGTGTTTGTTGTGCCAGAAGAGGAGAACCTGTTCCAGCAATGGTCAGATGTATTGTTTACTAGCTATTCCCTCCTTTATACTATACACCGTTCCGTACGTTACGCTACTACGTTAGTAATTAATAAAAATTCATCAGTACGTTAGAGTTTAGGCACAGGACATGACTGTACGCGTGGATACAGTCATGCCCTCTGATCTGTAATAATATTTAGTTGAATTAAATAAGATAAAAGTACATTCTCTTTCATTCGTGCAGTTATTTGGTTTAGTTTCTCCAGGTAATTACAGGGTGTTTATAGAAGTCTGGTTAAGGAGTTGGAGTAACCCTTACGTAATTGGGGATGCAATGCGAAGATATAATAAGTGGCAGACATTGTAATACCTCCAAGAAAGGGGCCATCAACTTTAATCCGTCACAATGGTGAAAGCGTCGGGTATAAATAAATAAAAAATCCATTATTTATACCTCCGGATAAATCCATTGTTTATACCTCTAAAAGAATAAAGTACAGGTAACTTACTTCGGTAACGATTACAGACAATAAAATTATTCCACCGCAATTAAGTTTAAAAAAAACGTGTTCTCCTGTATATTGTGCGCTTTCATAAAAATCAGAATAAATTTTAAATAACTTATTCTCTTCAAGAAAGACCTAAAACTGTATGTGATACTTTAAACAGCATATTGACCGATGAGCAAAAATTGAAGTGGATTTGAGTTTAAAAAAATATAACAATACAATTTAATATTGAGTTTATTATGTTTTTCTTTAAAAAGTTGGTACTAGCAAAGGAATTTACAGTAATAATTATTTTTATGCCACGATTTCCATTTTTTTACAAAATGCCTAATATCATGATAAACGATCAAAATTCGTAAGAGCGCGTGGCATTGCCTTCAGAAAAATTTCTGAAATAACTTATTTATTGTATGGTTCTAAAAAAAGTCAGCAGATCAATATAAAACTAGTTGGTTTAGTATTTAGCTTTGAGGCGAGTTACATGAACTTCCCGATATGTTTAAATAATCTACTTAATCAATAAAAAATAAATCAATTTATGAATGATTGAAAGTATTCCGAGTGGACTTATTACCCATAATTAAAAACGAACGAACATGTTAACTCGGATTATTTTCTAAAAGCAAATTTTCAACTCAAATCAACAATTTTTATATTTGAACCAGTTTCCGCAGGTCTTTAATGGTTGAGTATGCTGATTAAGACCAAGTACTCTATCGTTATACCAAGTTGATCATCTAATTTTAATTTTAACAAACATCAAAAAACTACTCATTTTCTCAAATTTTGATGAATGTTTAAAATTAAACTACTTGTCGTAAGGGCGTAATATTTCAGTAAGTTCTATAAGACCATGCCATACGAGTATATCGCCCAAAAGAAGTTCCATAAAAATCGGTTTCTATTTTTTTTTCAACAGTTAATTACAAGAAAACTGCTTGGTAGATTTTCACCTAAAACCAATCAGTACCATTCCCAAATATTATGTTTCGAACAGTTTTTGAATTTTCAAAATCGATTCAGAATTGCGGCCTAAAACGTGGACAAAATTTTTTTCACTTTTCTGCGATTTACAAAGAAACGGCTTGGCCGATCGACGTACAGAAGTTAGAAACGCTAGTCCTCATCGAGATACATCAAATGGCTTTCAAATTTTTGAAATCGGTCCAGCCGTTTTTGAGAAAACGTCGATTTACGGCAAAAAATCTGTTCACACACACACTCACACACATACTTTTTCCAAATTTGGTCTCATTCGATTCAGAATGGCTTGAAACGTCGAGAAAACATAAAATTAGCAATTCGGATTTTTTTATGAAAACATAAACTTCTCCTTCGGGAAGTTGACAATGTAATTTTCGAATAAAAGAAATTCGACATCAACAGCAAATATATTATATAGAATAAAAACTAATAATGTGCAAACATTTCACATGATATGATACCCTACCGCGACACAGTTTATTTGTAAAACTCTCACATATTAATGTAATAATTTCTCACTGATTAGCTTGATTATTTACACCATAACCACACATTTTGCAACTTGCCTTAAAGAAGAGTGCCACTTACATCTTGTTATGTTATATTTATATATTTTCTATCATCACACCAAAATAGGACATGAATTCTATATCACATAGAAACAGGACACAAGTTCACGGTTTCTATAAATACACCGTAATTAACTACTCTTAATTCGGTGGTCATTTTTGTTTGCTGTTTCTTAGAAGCTTGTGAAATTGGCCACTACGAAGGCGTGTAGATTAGAAAAACTATATTATAAGCAGACTTCTTAAAAAACTTTTTTAATCAAAACGAAACTCGTTGATGGAATATTTATGTAATATTCTATAAGTATGAACAAACTGAATTATATATGAAGCAGCACGACGACGACGTGCGAATCATATCGCTCAGTGGGAAAAGTAGAAATCTTCACACGTATAACTTGATAAGTAAAAATCATACTATATATACAAATATCTTTCTCAAAATGATTGAAAATTGATATCTAGAGTGTATTTAACTTTTTTATATCATACAAGTATGCGACAAAGTCAAATTTGGAAATAGTTAACTGACGGCTAGCTTTAAGATTTGAAACAAACATTATAAATACAAAACTTTTTGATAATATCCTTTATTAACTTCCCGTAGGGTAAAGGTAAAGGAGCCGAAAATAAAATTTTTTGCATATCTTCACGTTTCAGAGATTTCTGAACATTTTGGCATACCTCAGAACAAAAGTGTGTGTGTTTTGTGTGTCCGCAACTTTTTGTCCACGTTTTCGGGCGCACGGATCAATCGATTTGAATGGTTTAAAAAACGTTCAGTTTGGAATGACTGGGAGAAATAATTTTAACTTTGTAATTCAGTATTTATATCAGTGTAATTATTATTTGAAAACATTTAATATTCCTCGAACATTTTGTTACGATACTGAAAGTTCCAGCAATTTGCCTTAAGGCACGATCGCATATACACCACTAGTTATAAAACTTTTATGATAATTTTTATAAATAGAACATTACAAAACGTTGATAAGCGTACTAACATAAAAATTGTCACATCGGCATCAATTTTATGTACGTGTGAATCAATTTTTCACACATTCATATTTTTGCCATTTTTTCCGGAAAATGGATTCACTAATTTGATTGATTCAGGAAACGTATCATGCGTACAGCCTGCATATTTTTAGAAAATGGAGGTCAATGACTTCATAAACGATAATTTAGCATCTACCTTTAAACTTATCTAGTTTTATGTAAAATATATAATAATATAAATGATAAAATTATATCAGTACGCATTATTTTGTTATGCACATATTTTGGCTCCATAATAATTAGTTAAAATTATTAGTTAAACGAATCAATATAAACATTTTTGTTGTGTAATAAATAAAATTGTATGCCCTTTATATCTTAACGTTTTGCACCAATATGAACAATACTAAATAACTCATATTTAATTTTTCATAAAATTCGATCGCCCTATCAGGTACCATGCTTTTTAAATTACATCTCTGTTTCATAATTGTAACGAAATATCAAGTTCATATCAATCGGGTTTAAATTAAAAAGAAGGCAAATTGAATAAAAAGTAAATTTAAAAAAATAAGATTTTAAAAAGAAAATATTAATTGAAGATCAATTCTTGAGGGGTATTATTAGCGATGTCTTTAAATGAATTTTAACCAAGGCTATCAAATATAATTGGAACTAAATAATTTTGTTACTATACCTACTGATAAAGCGTATCTGGAATTATTTAGTGCAAAATTATTTGGTTTTGTTGTAGTTTAGTTTTGGTTTTATATTTTATGAATTATTTCAAGTGACACATATTAAATTTACATATACACACACATATATTTTATATGTGTGTAATTAGTATATACGAGTATGTCAATATGTCCTGACAAAACGATTGATTCCAAATATTTTTGTATCTTATTTAAATTTATCTATGTTATAATACAAATGCATAACTGGCACGCATATTGAAAATGAGTTTTGTGGATAAATTAATATAACTTACCACTGGGAAACTTGCTTTGCGCCATATACGCAGCTATCACTTGACCTTCAATAGCAGCAGCTCTTGTCCGTGATGAGCGATTTACTCGTTCTTCCTCATCACTCGAAGAATACCGCCGCTCCCTGCGCCACTCAAGAGAGCGCTGCCTGCGCATCAACGGCTGCTGCTGCTGCTGGAGCAGCGAATTCGATTGGGACTGCGACTGCTTTGAGCCGCGACGGCCGCCGTCCATCACGACAGCGATTCAGACATCTGGAATAGATGAATGATTTTTATCATCTATAAGAAAATTACACGCATATATTTTAACACTTTTTGAAATCAACATATTTGACAATTTGCGACAATAATAGAATCTGTTGTCAAATATGTAAAATCTTATAAGCCAAAATGTTTCTTTTAATTTAACAATAATAATTTCGGAGTAAAATTAATTTAAAGTAATATATGCACATTATCTCATGGTGATCGTGAGTTTTATAATGAGAATATATTTGAAAACACTCGTAAAACAATGTCAAATAGTGAACATAATACCAAACAAATGTGAAACAATAAATTATATTGCTAAATCCAGTATAATAATATTCATTTAAAATGTTATTTGAAAATATATATTTATCTATTTTCCACTTCGAGCAACCTGTTGTCAGGCAGCAGTGATAAAGATTTTCACTTGAAAATATAATTAGCAATATGTTGCCAACTGAAAATAGCTCTTACCCGTGTTCATAAATATATGCAGTACTTGACACGTAATTTAACATAAAATATTAAAGTTTAAAACATAACTATAGTAATTAATATGCATTTAAGCAAATCGAATCAGAATCGTACTTCAATGTTCGGTTAATAATATCCAAAAAAATGTTTTTTTAATAACTGAAATATTTAGCATATATAAAGGTATCGATTCTTTATTTCGTCAATACTAATAAAATGTTTCTTGAATCATCCAAAACCTTGATTACCAATTTTGGCACTTTTTGCCCTGTATCTTCGAAACGGTTGGACCTGTATTTGCCAAAAACTAATCAGCATGTCTCCCCATCAGTGGAAATCGAATGTTCTTTGAATCATTCAAATCGGTTGATTTGCTGCCCGAAATCGAAAACGAAAACTTGTATCCAAACATCCATACATACACACACACACAAACATAATCGTTTTCAGAGGTGTGCTAAAATGTTCAGAAACCTTTCAAACGTAAAGATATACAATAATTTTCATTTTCGATTTTTTTGCGATTACTATAACTTACCCTACAAGAAATTAAAAAACAGATAGTTGTAAGTGGCATTTTGCAAAGGCATATTGCATGAACTTCCCGACATATATAAATAAACGACTTATCAATAAAAGTTTAACGTTTTGATTAATGAGAGACTTATAGGAATACAAAGTTGATGTAAAGGAATCATAGTAAAAAGCCTTAATATTATTAAAAATTTGTGGTTGTATAAATATATATTATTCCCGAATAATCCTTTTGTTATTCATATCTACTGAACTGAGCTTTACAATTTAATGAGTTAACTGCTTCTTTTGTACGATACTTCTAGATATAGAAAGGATATAAACAAGCTAATTAAATATTGAAGAGCTGAGGATTTGAGATAATTATAATAAAATATTTTCAAAGGATCCTTCATGTCCAAAAACATTCGAAGGTTGCTGTTGAGAGCATACTCGAAGAAAGTTTCGGTACACTCCAGACTTCTGAAGGGTGCGTCTCAATCCGCAATACTTATGCGCCAATCGAATGTTCGGAGTATTGTATGTAGAATCTTTGAACGTATCAAGAATAGTAAGAAATTTAATTTTTGTTACAGGTTATAACTTCAAACTATATAAATTATATCGTCATCGATTGTCCATCGATGTCCATTACCAACTACTAATTTTTAATACAATACTTTTTTGCAAAAAAATTATCTGTTCATATTAAATGTATCAACTTTAAGTAGGATTTTTACGTCTTAAGATTTTCTGAACATTTTGAACACACTATAAGTGTTGTATAATTTCTGGAACTGCAGTGCGTTTTAAAAATATAGCGCAAAAAACACAAAAATCTGATCAATATGATTTAATTCATACGCTTACAGTATTGAGCTTCATTATATCCCGGTAGCTCATAAGCGAATTGCATGTATTTTTTACACTTGTGATTTGTAGATAGAAAAGATAAAATTCATCCGGTTCAAATCCGGTCGCGTATATTTTTTATTTCATTGATTTTTATGTTTATATAGTTCAATATCACAAACGATATTCATAATTTTGTACCATATTCATATATTAATATATTTCAATTAAATATTGGAGAAGTGCTCTAATGTATGATGGAATATGAAATCAATTGACTGAACAATTTTTGTTAAATGGTAATTTTTATTCCTCAAATGTACGGGAAGATATAGCACTTTGTCTCAAGGCACGATGTCATGTACCACTAGTTTTTAACTATAATTACTTCAAATACACATTTATAAATTTATACGAACATAATTGTGTATAAGATATAATTTATTTCTCAAAAAAGAACAATAAATTGTATGTAACAAAACCAAATTAGCATATAATTGAACCACTGAGGTCTCAATCAGCACAAGATTGAGATAATTTTTTCTGTAAAAAATATTAGAATTAAATATCAATGAAGTTGCAATAAATAAAGACCTTAGCAAAACATGTAAATAAAGTAGATACATAATAAACAATAAGGTTTCGGTTTTATCAAATCTCAGTAACATTCCAAGTAATGAGCGATATACACTCTTTCCGGTAAATTCTGATCATACTCAGTGTTTATGCTATGGTAAATGGTTCGGTTCAATGCATTTGCAAATATATCAAAAAGGTATAAATTCTACATAGAATTGATTGTTTTGCTTATATACTCTATTAGAGTTAGACCAAATAGGATTTGATTATTTTGAGAATTATTTTTAAATCCTCAACGTTCTATTGCAAGCAATAATTACAATTTCCCAAAGAGACATGTTTTTACTATTAAGTAAAATTAACCCTTTAGATACTTTAGTAACGTAACACACGTAAAAATTATTTCAAATCAATTATGTAAATACAATTAGTACGAGGTTTTCATATGAACCACTCGATTAACTTGCTTGGAATAATTGCAGATCCAAGTGTTCTGTGCGCAGTCACGTTTCGGGAGAATATTATCGTCTCATATTAATATTTGAAGTCGAATAATTAACACGAGATCAGACATATGGTAAGTATAGATAAGAAAAATATTGTAGTAAATTAGTGTAAATCTTGACATTTATAATGTAAAATATTTTGTTGTTAAGTCTATATTGTTATCTTTCAAAATTACAATATTTCTGCTTTTAAAGAAAATTTTACTAATTGAATAAAAGATGTTAAGCTAAATCAGTATGAATTAAACTTGTTTTATTATTGAGAAATAGATTTATTACGATTAAATTAATATTATATCTAAAGATAATAATGATAATAGTCAAAATTTTACCTCTCGTCGAGCGCCAGTGTATAGATTTCTTCGATATCTTCTCAGGCCATAGTAAATCAAACTATTGTAGTTAATATCATTAATGAAACTAGTGTAAATTCATATCGAACGTTTTTATTTTATAAACTTTATTATTGAATACTTTGAATGTAAAACATTTTACCGATAAAGTAATTTCCCGTAGGTCAAGTTATAGTATAAACTCAATAAAAATCCTATGCCTTAGGGCAAAATGCCAAATACACCTAGTTAGTGTAGTCTTCGGAACACATTCTCTATTATTTTAGAGTGTTAAGCACGACAAGAATAGAGAATCATTCCAAGCTCTAATCACTTAACATTTATATGATCGTAAGTTCCATAAGTAATATCAAAATAAAAATTTACAGGTTTACGGAGGATTTTATAACGGAATATTTACCGAAAAATATAAAATTAATCGAAAACTCAAATAAATGTTGAGATTATTTACAAAGGAAATTATAAATATCAAACAAAAATAATAAAAAATATTAAATCTGAATCGGGAATCCCTCAGTTTGAGCATCAAATCTACCATTGTGCCAAGTTTCATCAAATCCGCGACGAGCAACGCGCAGGTTTTTCTTATGAGTATAGGAAATATGAATCCATGTCCTGTGTAATAAAAATAAATATTTTGAAATATAGTTTTTCTATTAAGCCAAAATGGAATAGATATAAATTAATCTATATCATTGCAGTGGTATAGTGGTTATCTGTGTAGATAAGCAAACTAGTTTCAGGTTCCAGCTTGATGTCAAGCAGTAATGGCATGTGTTTCCGCTTTGAAATATGTAATTCTTATATACTAGTCCTTATTGCGGCATAAATTTGAAGAAATCATTACTGTCACAGAAATTTTATTAAGAAAATTCAACACAAAGATAACAACTGTTTGGGTTATCATCTATAAAAGCCTGCGTAAGTTTAAGTTGAGATTGAGTTAACTTACGATTTATATTCGAAAATGTCAGCCCAAAGTAGTTCAAGCTACGCCGCGTGTGTGACTATTTTCCCTCATAGTACACGGTTTATCACAAAAATACAAATAATTTTGTGTTTTATAGTTTCGTATGAATAAATATTTTGTAATACTTACGTTCAGCATACCGGGCCATGCCCGTAATGCGTAATATTTGCTTCTGACCCGAATATAGTACGCGGGCTATGCCCATAATATTTATTTTTAGCCTAGCAATCGTACGCGGGCTCTGCTCGTCATTTTAAGTTAAGGGCCTAGATATGTTGCAATGCTCAATTAAGCATTACATTTTTTTTCGAAAAGTTACGAAATGTATAAAAATCAAAAATTTGTGTATAGTCCTCGTATAATGTAATGAACATATAACAATATCATACAATTATATTATGATTATTCTGTTCATATCACAATTAAACACTTTACATCATCTGGTTGTTGCTGTACAGTCGCAATCTGGTTACGACAATTTACACAATTACGTCAATTTTACTATTCGCACCGGTCTCGCCTCAAAATCGGCACGGTGCGCAAATTTCGCTGAAAGCATTTTACGGCGCCGCAGCAGAGCACGTTGGACGTTCGAAATAACCATCCCGAAACGCTGTACGATTTTCAAAACGTCCGAATAACAAACGGCGCGCACGTTTATGTGTACTTTGGAAATGTTTGTGTGATCGCGCGGTCGCACATGCCGAATTCCGCGAGCCGAATTATTATTCATCAG